AAGACACACGGCACCATAGAGCTTTCTAGGCTTTCTTTCTCTCACAGAGACACTGAGGGGATGGGGGCCCGGGGCTCTACCTGCCAACCTTTCAGTCAGTGGCTAAGAGCTTAACCATTTGCACCATCAAGGCTCCTTGCTGGCACATACTTACCAAATGACTGAAAGAGAGTACTGACCATCTTTTAAAAATACCTTTTCAGAAAACAAAAAACCAAAAGCTCTGAATAATTAAAGGCATTTATAAGGAAAAGAAAATGACACAGTCAGGGAAAAGTCCCTTTCGACCTTACCCCAGACATCGGATTTGATCGAGAAGGTATTGTAGGCAAGACTCTCTGGTGCTGTCCACTTGATAGGAAACTTGGCTCCAGCATGTGCAGTATAGGTGTCTCCAGTCATCAACCGACTTAAGCCAAAGTCAGCCACTTTCACCACATGGTTTTCTCCCACTAAGCAGTTACGAGCTGCAAGATCTCTGTGGAGGAGAGGAGGAAGACTATTATGATTCCACTCAGATGGTGAAGAAAATGCTCCTGAATGCTATATTCTGGGTTCTTCTTGCTAAAGGCAGAGTTGACCAGTAAGTGCTGACAGATACAATAGTATTTTATGATATCTACTAACATGGTAGCAAGTCACCAAGTGTAATTATCAAGAGGCAGCTTTGTGATGTCAGAATAAAGCAGGCTGGTTTGTATACGTACATTCTGGGTTCAGGTATATTTGTCTATATAAGAATACACTGGGTTAGGTTTCAGAGGTGAGCCAGAGATGCTTTTCTACCAGGCCTGCAAGAGCTTCAACTACGACAAAAGCCATTTTTAAACGAAAGACACTAGATGGAACAAAAGGATCTCGGATCTAGGGCTAGACAAATGAAAAGAACAGCCCTCTGTTATAAAAATAGCAAAGCTCCCGCATTAACACCTTAATTGGAGTACAGTCGGCTCACAGGCTGAAAATGACATTATAATGGGTCCTGTGAGAGACGTGCTAGACAATTACTCTCTGGAGTCATCTGAAACGTTCTCCACATTCTTCCCTTTATTTGTTAAGCAAAGTGGCTACATTGTTAGTCAGAGGCAACAGTCAGGCTTACACACCTGTGGATGAAATTCTTCTTTTCTAAGTACTCCATTGCAGAAGAGATCTGAGTGGCCATGTAGAGCAGTACAACTGCAGTCACCTCTTCTCGGTTGCATTCTCGGAGATAATCAAGCAAGTTCCCGTATGGCATGTACTCCGTCACGATGTAAAACGGTGGCTCCAAAGTACACACACCTGCCAGCCAAGAGTGCAGCATAGTTTATTAGCATTTATCCACATTCTCTGAACAGTGTGGTCAAGGGTAATGTGATACCATTTTAAATCCAGTTCAGGGGTGACCTTTGATATTATATTCTCAGAAAATATTAGAGCAAAAATGAAGAAGTCAATATTGGTATCTGACAACGCACAGGCCTTTTGAGGATTTGTCTGTTTGAACAAAGGCAGAGTTATTTGCGTCAGAGTCTTAAAGGGCTAAGAAGACTGAAATTTCTACAGTTCTGTATGTCTGTAATTGCTCTCCTTCACACATGCAGTGTTTATCTAAAAATAACAGCAATGGTGCAGATGCCAAGGGCTGGAAGCCCCATCTGTCATAATGCTTAGTAAAAATATTTTTGTTTCCCTAGTCAAGGATTACACTGACACGTAGTAAATTCCTTGTATAAAGTCACTAAGAACCACCAAAACCATTTTTAAAAACTATTTCCTCTGGGATAGTTTGAACTTGAACACCCAGAGAAACTGGCTTGACTTCATAAAGTCAAAGGCTCCTTTGCAGGGTTTTGAACCAGTCTGAGCTGGATTGACTGTGGCAGATGCAGCGACATTTCTTAAATTGGGGGGCAGTGAAACTATAACTAGAATGGGTAAACTGTAGGTGACTCTGGATAAGTGTAGCAAGTCTTTTCAGGAGCCTGAAACATGAGATTAGATTACTAGAGGGACTAACGGAAAGGGACACACATTCAGGATAATGTGGCAGGCTGTCACCTGTGAGAGGCACCACTGCTTCCAACTCTGCTAGTCAGGAGACGTGTTTGCTATGCAAGGTGCACACAACCCTTGTTTTCTAAGAGGAAGATCAAGTTTCTGGCAGAACAATGATCAGCAATTTTTCCTGTTCCAGTTACTGTTCCTGTTTATCTACATTTTGCAAATTCAGGCCCATTCTGGTTTCATTTTAGGCCTTGACTAAACTGGAAAAACCAGTTGGAAGACCTGTTTCTTTGTGGCCTGTACAGGTAAGAAGCCAATGTATGAAAGCACAGCACATCTAATCAGTGAAAAGGCAAATTGCTGGGGTTAGTTACAACTGTCCATTCATTGTAATGACCCTGTATTCAATGCCTCTTTACTCTGTAAAAATATGGTTCTAAAAAAATATATATATACATATATATATGCATACATATGTGTGTATGTGTATATATATATATATCGTTCTAAATCCTAACAATTTTTGGTGTGAGGTGCCATTTTAGATGCTTCTGACCTATAGAAGTTGATGCAAAGGGGACAGTGTTAAATCCTGAAATCAATCCAGGCCACTGTTTTATTGAAGTGTATCCACTGTTGAAATTCTATCATGGTAATTCAACATAAGGATTTTATAATCATCAGAGGCTGGGGATCAGGGGGAAATAATGTTAAACAAATCTATAGTTGAGGCAAATCTCCTTACCTAATAGTTGTACGAGATTAGGATGCTTGATTTCCTTCATTACTGCAGCTTCTTTCAGGAACTCCTCCACCTCCATAGTATCTTCCTGAAAGGGGGGTGAGGGGAGGGCAAGGAAGCAAAAGAAAAAAGGGGACTCAATCATTTGAGTCCACTCACCATCCTGAAACTTCAGCTATCAAATAAAAGGGACTATCTTTTGACGACTTTAGTATATTACTTCTATAAAACTTATCATAACCTAGTGTGCTCTTTAGGAGTCTAAGAAGATAATTCATGAAATAAAAAATGTCCTTGAATTTATCCAATATTAGAACTGAAGTAGCAATTACCAGGGTGAACAAAATCTAGTATTCATAGATGGGGGACTAGTATGGATCACTTAGTTCCCTGATCATTCTCTTCTCCAGATATCTCAACCTGCACATATGTTTATCTATCTGATTAGACCCTAAACTCCTTAACAAGGAATGTGTGTTTGTATGGCTTAGTAGAGGTTTCACATTCAATGTACGCTTGATAAATAAATGCGTGCTAAGCAGGACTGAAAAGAAGTCCTTACAAGTGATATTCTAGAGTTACTGAGGCTCTGGAAGAATCTTTAGAGAATGAAACAACAGACATGCTCTAAATTTGATACCATGATACTTAAGAGATAAGGCAGCATTAGAAAAATTATTTCTGTGACTATTAAGAACAAGGAGAATTCGTCCAATTGCAGGGAAATGAGAAGAAAAGTAAGCCCTGGTGACACCTTTGGGTAAGGGTTGGACTGCTAACTACCAAGGTTGGCAGTTCAAACCCACTAACTGTTCTGTAGAAGAAAAGATGAGGCTATATACCCCCATGAAGATTTACAGCCTCGGTAACCAATAAAGAGTCTCTATGGGTTGAACCTGAATTGATAGCAATATGGTTGGGTGCAAGAAGGCAAGAAATTGAAGGAGAGAACAAGAAAGGGAGAGCCCCTGATTCACCAACAAAGCAAGAAGAATTCTGACCAGCAGCGGCCATTCTAAAGAAGCAGAAGAGTTTACTATATTTTGCTACTATTAAATGACTTCATATAGAACACACATAGGAAACTACCTAGTTAAGAGGTTATATGATTTGCAAAACCGGGTAATAATGTTTGCATTACTTGTATAAAAATGCAGTATCTTGCTTTTACAACTTAGAATTTACTTCTAACCTAACAAGAAGGTCTGTCTCAACAACTCCCTGAAACAAAGCTTGCCCCATGTGGGTTTCCCTGTGTTGCAGGGCACAGCCTGCCTCTGCATTGACTGTCAGCAGTGGCACCAGGATTAAGCATCACAATTTGCTGATGTGCTTGGCACCAGTGGGTGGGGAGTATTCCAAAGTTAAAGAAGGGTACGCTGACATTTCCAAGTGATTCAGCATAAAGAAGACGGTGCCTGAAAACTAATTCTCAGCAACCCACCTTCAATGTTTTCACAGCAACCGTAAGGCTGTATTTCTTCCAGACGCCGACATAAACCTCTCCATACTGGCCACCCCCAAGTTTGTGCTTCATGGTAATATCTGTTCGTTCCATTTCCCATTTGTCATGGATAGGGGACACACCGTAGACTGTAGGCTTATTACACTTGGGTGCTGGATAGTGTAATGTTGTCACCAGCCCATCAGCCACCGTGGAGTGATGGTGAACAAGCTCTGCCAAAGTGCTGAAGCGGCTTTCGGCAGTCACATAAACCTGGTGAGAAAGGAGGACCAAGCGGAACAACTGGAAAAGGTGGAATTGAAAACAAACACACATCAACCTAAAGATGTGAAAGTAGGAAACTATCTTACTGAGAAAATCCACGTCTTGGGCTGAAGGAGAATCTTGAGTTTGATTCTCCTTCCCATTGTAAACTCAGAGGAGGTCAAATGGTGCCCCCAGGCCATTTGTACATAATCTGAAGCAAACCCTTGATTGACGCTAGAGAGGACAGGTATCTATCCATTGCAACTTATGTACAAATTTGACTTTAGGAATGGAAATCATTCAAAATCCAGGGACTGTCTATATTCACCAGATTGTACACCATCAAACCAAAAACCAAACCCACTGCCATCAAGCCAATTCCAACTCACAGTGACCCTATAGGGCAGAGTAGCAATGTCCCACAGGATTTACATAATCTTTATGGAAGCAGACTGCCATATCTTTCTCCCAGAGAACACCTGGTGGGTTTGAACTACCAACCTTTCAGTTAGCAGCTGAGGACGTAAACCATGTGCAACCATGGCTCCCTGTGCAACATTATCACTATCTGATTCCAGGACATCTTCATCACCCCCCACAAAAGAAACCTTATACTACATAGCAGTCCTTCCCTATTCTTACTCTCCATTCCCTGGCACAACAAACACTTTTCACTCAGCTTTACATATCAGGTTCATCTACGGCATGGATAAGTAAATTTTTTGTTAAAAGCCAAAGAGTAAATATTTTAGGCTTGTGGGCCATAGGGTCTTAGTTTCAACTACTCAACTCTGCTGTTGTAATAAAAAAGCAGCCATAAACAATACAAAAATAAATGGATGAAGCTATGTTCCCATTACATTTTATTTACAAACGCAAGTACTTGGCAGGCCAGAGTTCAGCCTGTTAGTCTTGTATGTAGCAGTTATGATATTCAATTTTAGGGATATATCACAATTTATTAATCCATTCTACAGTTAAGACATATGCATGAAAACCACATGGCCCAAGAGTTAGGAGACAAAGACTACTGAGGAAAAACTAAACATTATTATTCTAGCAGTCACTCCTTACCCTCTGACATTCAATGAGATAAAACACAAGCTTGTACACACACAGATATATATAAGGGAACTTTTAACCTCATTACGTCTACCATAATTGATTTTACAATGGTTTCTGTCTGATAGCAAGGCTATTCACATCCCTTGACTATGGTCAGAGGGAATTCACTGGAGGCTTAATCTATGTATGGACCCTGCAAATGGATTTTGGGATTCCACGGTCATCCAGACCCACCTGCAAACCAGGTGTTCAAAATTTAAGCTCTGATACCATTCCCTCCTGTGGATTTGGATTTTATTATTTACAATCTTTGGGATCAAACAGACTGAGTGTTTCCTTCATGTAGACTTAGTTGATGCCTCACTTAAGATGGTTGTTTGTTTCAAGATAAGACTTTAAGACCTCAGAAACTATTCTTTTTGATAGCTGGGAACCATCTGGTTCCTTCACCACACTTTGCTACAGCACAGCACCTACAATATATCTTCAGTGATCTCTTCATGAGGTCAAGTATAGAGTAGGGCCATGTCATAAGAACCAAGTGATCTTAGATTGGGGCTAGAATTAAGTGAAAGGCCCAAATCCATTCATTTATCTATGGTATATCTGTATATCTATATATATCTCCAGTTCACTTTTTAGATATTTTAAGATAGAGAATATTATAACTTATTGCTGTGGGGCATAAGGTAATTGCACTGATAGTGCCATTAATTTAGCCAATGAAACAGAATTTAAAACACTGTCGAGAAAAGGAAATTATGTATGTTTAGAGAAGCCTAAATTCTTATTTTGTGAACTTTTGAGAGATTGTTATAATTTTCAAAGCTACACGGTTAATTTAGAAATTCTACACAATATATTGGATATATATGTGTATATCTGCATCATGATGATGATTAAAACAGTTAACCTATAGTATTTATTTCCTTCAATTTAAATCTAACTCTAGTTACTCTGAGTACTGTTTCCACAGATTACCCAGTCCACATCAGCAGGCATTAACTCCTAAGTCTTACCTTGCCATCTGGGGTGGTATTGATCCTGTAGTGATACACACGACCCTCATACCTGAGCGAGATGGAGAGCTGCCCTGGGCTGCTCTCACTTTCTCGCACCAGGAAGCTGCCATTGATGAGACTGCTCAGTAGATACTCTGCCGCACTGCGTGACACAGGTCCGTGGTACCAGGAGTGCTTTTCCAGACTGTTCACTGGGGTGATGTAGTTGCTTGGCACCCAACCCTGTCCATTCTTGGATCGAACTTCACTCCACTCACCATTCTGGTTGTAACCAAGCACTCGTAGCTTTTCACCTAGTCATGAGGTCATCACAGAATGAAGAGATGGTAAGACTTTATTTGAAATAGAAGCAGTCTACTGTCAAACTTAAAACTTGTTAAAAAATGAACCGAGTACTTTTATACAGAATTTATTTTTAATGATGAAAACAAGCTTGGCTGATATCGATTGATCGCTTCAGTTTGTCGAAACCACAGAGGCAGTCAGAAACTGCTTTCTGGCATTTACTGTATCTGTTTAGGCCCCTTAACAAGAGGAAACATTCATGCGTGGTAGTAAGATGGATACACAGACAGAGGTTACTTAAATGGCTGGAAAATGACACACTACTCACCCTTCAATAGAAAAATAAAACTCGTCCTCAACAAAGTTCACCAAGGAATTGTGTTACATGTGGTTCAATGCTAATGACAATCAAGGATTAGGGAGAAGGCACATGATAAAAAAGTTATTTCTAAATTTCACTTGGTACCAATGAAACAAAAACAGATAAACAAAAACAACCCCCAAAACAACCCCAAAAATCACAGGCCAGGGAGCTTTAAGCAGTTATTTTTAAGGGTTGTGGTACAGGCAAAGATGACTTATAAACCACAATCTTTTCCAGGAGGCAAGTTTTGAAATAGTTATACTTTCCCAATTTCCCTCCAATTCCCCCATGAGGAATGAATCACTCTTATCCATTCCTCTAAAATTAGTGTGTGGAAAAGGAAGCTCACTCTGAGAATGGAACTTAAGGCCCAAGTTACTCAGATTATCTTGCTTTTAACGTCAATACCCTTGACTTCTACTGCAGTTGTGAACATCAAGTTTTGGACTCCTCAACATACATGCATCTTTGCCCTAACCCTTGCAGCACAGATTCTGAGTTCTGGCAAAACAGTATTAACTTAATCAAAAGGATCCTTCCAGTGGCTTAGGCCTCTCTCTATCAGAAATGAAAGCCTTCCTTTCTCAGTGTCAGAGAGCAGAAGAAAGCCAAATTAGTGGAAAACACATGGCCCAAGAGTTAGGAGCAAAGGCTAATGAGGAAAAACTAAACATTATTACTCTAGCAGTCACTTAATTTTTTCCAAATCATTACTTTTCATTACTACTTACCATCTGACATCCAATGAAAAAAACACAAGCTTGTACACACACAAAGACATATATAAGGGAACTTCAGAGAGTTTATAGAAAGGGGAATAAAAGATAACTCAATATTCCCACAAATTTTTTAAGCTTCCCCATCTCAATATGTCTAAATACAAATATGCATAAATCCACACATATACATAGGAGCACATGGGACTGGGTGTCCACAAGTACACAAACACTCCCCAACCATATTTACAGGAAAAATATGAAAGAATCTTAACAGTGCTATTGGGAAAGTTGATGAAATTAATGTTGCTCGGAAGCTTCTATCAGTCCAGAAGAAAGAGAAGTAAAGATTAAGTCCTATTTTATTTTGCTTCCTTACAAAAAACTGGTCATGACAGACCATCACAATTTAAGATACAAACATCCTCAGTTTTTTTGTTTTCTTCTCTTCTTGACAGTTATGAGGAGGAATTATCTTCTCACCACCAGTGAGTTGGTCCCCACTCATAGTGACCCTGTAGGACAGGGTATAACTTCCCCCTCTAAGTTTCCAAGACTGTAACTTTTTATGCGAGTAGAAAGCCATGTCTTTCTTCCATTGAGTGGTTGGCAGTTTTGAACCCACCAGTAGCCCAACAAGTAACCTCTATGGAAGTTCTTAGCGACATGGAAATTGGAAGAGGTTTGACTAGTAGATATGGTCCTATCAACAAACTTGGGGAAAACTTTTTACTTTTTTTTTAAAGATACTTTTTACTTTTTTTTAATTTTAAGAAAATACCTTAAAGGACTGAATACTGCCTTTTATTTTAAAAATATATTTACTATCTTTTAAAATAATAAAAGAGTTTTACCATTAAATAATTTTATATTGAGAACCTGGCTTAAGAATATGACAGTTGTTGAGGTTTAAAAGAAGCCACTGTTGCCTATGAGATAAAGAGAAGTCCACTCCTTGAACTGCATACTAGTGGTTACTATAATTGGTGGCTATGGAATCAATGTTTCCCCAGTGATTAAGCTCTTCTGGAAATCCTAAGAAGAAAATTATACCTAGAAAAGAATGTCCAGAGTCATTGCTTTACAGATTTCTCCACTGAAGTGTAGTTTATGTAAGCATAACATTCCTTGAGGGGAGGCCTGTCTTCTTAATTTTATGTACATTCAAATTTAATATGTAAAGGCTTCAACAGTTCATTCCCCCTTACCTTGCTTTGGAGCCTTGGAGCTGTGATCAGCAACGTCTACAGTTCGAAACCACCAGCCACTCCAAGGGAGAAAGTTAGGAGGGTTTTCTATTCCCATAAAAAGTTAACAGTCTCATAAACTCAGAGAGGCAGGTCTACCCTGTCCTATACAGTTGCTATGAGTCTGCATTGACTCAATGGCAGTTGAATAAGTTACCTCGTTTTAAATCTTAATAAAAGACATCTGTTTGACAAGTAATCATTTAAGTGACACTTGTATTTAGTTAAAAATTATCCTGAAACATCTTCCCCGATAGGAGACTTTCAAAGGTTCAAAAGAAAAGAAGAAATGTAGGCTAACTAATGCAATTTATGTACACAATGAGAATGTCCCCATCTTCCCCTATTTCTCTCCAAAAAAGCTCCATTATTTTTGGTGCTTTTTCCAACGGTGGGTGATTTTAGTGTTCCCTTTTACCTTTACCACTGAAATAAACTACTAATCTCTGGAAAGTGTGGTACAATAGACATTCTTTCTCATATTCCTTTCACTTACCCATATAAACACAAATGGTAAGTATTTACGCTGTCTAGGCTACTTGAAGCTGGATCACAATAAGACAAGAGACTTGTACCAGAAGGTGAATCACTGCACCTTCTTCATATAGATGGCTTTGTACCAAAAGTGAAAACGCCAGCTGAACTGAACATAATATTGTTCTTCAGTGGTGTATACGGTTTGCCATTCGGATGAAAGCTTTCATTGCATTGCCACTGGTCACAAACAGTTCTCTGAAAAGCAGTCTGCTGCCAACATTTGGAGTAGCACTGGGTCCTGACAATTGACTCAGCCATAGTTCAACCAGAACAGAGATGCACTCAGACTTCCCTGTGTGGTTTTACAGGTCACGCAGAATTCTGAGAATGAGTAGAGTTTATGTATTGCTTGTGTGGTGTCTTTCTAAGGTACTTTATCTCATTTTATTCCTAAGTTCTATAAAGTAGATAAAGTAGTATTTTATCTCAGATACATGCAAAAAAGACAGATGAACCAAAAGTGTTTGGGTCAAAATCCCCTAGTGAATTTTGATTAATGGCAGAATCTAGGACAACAGGCAGACCTTTTATTTCTTGACCACTGATGAAAATTAAAAAATGAGAGGATGTGGCACAAAAGTCTTACCTTTAGTAATGCTGAGTGTGTTATCGCCACTTGCTACAAAATCATAAAGTGCAACAAAGAGATTAGGGTCACTCTCAGTGGCTCCAAGCAAGTTCTCCTTGGAGCTCCATCTGATGGCTTCATTTAGTGCCTGCGATTCAACATCACAACCATAGGGACGGTGTAAGGCTTCTGAAAGATATGATGGGGAAAGGCATTCACAGTAGGTTCCACACACAAGTTCACTGGTGTTCAAGACATATGCAAATTCTTAGCTGCTAGCATTCACAGACCACTCCAGGGTAATAGCACTAGCACGCTCACGGAATGTGAGCCAATGGCAACGTCATCTTACCATTGTTCAAGCTGTAACCTATTGACTTGAGCAGGCCGGCTACAGGTAACAACGCAGGACAACAGAAAGAACATTGAGTGAGCGTCTAGCCCTGGTTGGTGTGTATTCATCAAAACTAGACATTAGTGAATAGCAAACAGTTTTCTTAAAATGAAAAAGAAAAAGAAATTCCATAAAGAAATAACTAATAGCTTTGTAAAACACACAGGATAGTTTGTTGTTAAGATATTTTGTGGTTGAGTATTTAAAGAAGCAAAGGTTTTGTCTTATAAGTTCTGAACCACTTTTTTCTCTTTTTGCTCTCTCCATATAAAGCATATTGAGAGAAGACAGCAAAGATATTTTTTCAGAAACAGGGACATATTATGTCAGGCCAGACACTCCACATACATATAGAAAAAACGACAGACATAATGCTTCTAAAGTAAAATCCTAATATTACCTGCAAAAACAGAGAAATATATGTTTTGGTTTAACATTAGTTATTCTCAGCATCCCTAAATACCCTTGGTTACCACAGGGTGTAATTGCTAATCGCCTTAATGTCAATATTTGTTTTACTCATTTTATTTCCTCCTAAGCAGCGAATTTTTGCTAAAATTTTGCCATAACTTAAAAGGTTCCAGAAAAGGTCACCATTAAGGTGTAGTGGTACCAGGTGTACTGACTTGGAAACCTTTCTTCCACCAGGCTTCTTAATTCCTACATCTGGTCAGAGTCCACAAACAGGAAATCCCTAAATTGTCTTATCTAACGACCACCTGCTGTTCATTGCCCAGGCCCACTATACAAACCACACATCCCTCTCCCAGAAGTGATTTTCTTGATCACTGGGACTGCTCTCTGTGGTTTCTGCCAGGACAAACTATCCAACCACGTATGTGAGGTAGTGATGCTTTTCTCCCCTCCCTCCACTTAGACGTAAGATTGGCTTTATCATATTTACAGGGAAAAAGCCCTTCACGCCTGTGGTTTTGCTTCTCTTCCAATCAATCCCCTCATCTCAATCCCTAGCGGAATGCCTTAGTTTAGATCCCCATCAACTCTCACCTGGACTACTGCCTCCAGTCTTGTCTCCCTCAAATCCATCCTCCACACAGCTGGCAAAGTGATCTATTTAAAACAAAAATTGGACCATGTCACTCTTCTTAAGACTCCTCATCAAGGAAAACCTTAAGTTCCCCAACAAATGAAAACCTCTTTCACGTGGAACCTCAAGGCCTTTCAGGGTCAACCTGTGCCTACTTCTCTAGCTTTGCCTTCCCCACACTTCACCCCTCAAATGAAAAGCTGCTGCCTACATCATACTGCTTCTCCCCTTTTTGTTTCGTTCATAATCCTGTCTACCAGCAATGGGTTCTACTCATAATGCTTAGCTCCAATGAAACCTACCCTAGGAAGCTGCACATGTGCCTCTCTTTGCTCATAAAAGCATTACATTCACACATTAATATTTTTAACCTAATTCTATATTTATAACCTCCTCTATTACTAGTTGTTTAACAAACTTCAGAGAATGCTCCTTATTAGAACTTTTATTCCTCTTACTATCTCATTATATTTGTTCAATAACTTCTGGCTAAATCGAGACCAAAACTAAAACAAATTAATTTCACTGTCAATTCTGACTGATTGTGATCCTATAGGACAGGGTAGAACTGCTCTTTTGGGCTTCTGAGACTAACTTTTTTTCTGTAGTTGAAAGCCTCATCTTTCTCCTGCAGAGCCACGTGGCTGTTTTGAACCGCTGACCCTGCAGTTAGCAGCCCAACTTGTGACCGTCTATGCCACCAGGGCTACTACCATAAATGATCAAGTTACACAAAAATAAGAGCCAGGAAACAAAACAATGCATTTTAATTTTACAAATCACACTAACTCACATCTAAACAGTGGATTCATAGCTACCCACATGATACAGAAATTCCTGTTGTGGTCAAATCTGTAATTCTCCTAACAGTTTAACTTTATCACATTCCTTCCTGTGCTTAAAAGGACTCCTTCTTTTAAATGTCGCAGTTACCTAAAATTTTGTTTCACATAAAAAATATGACTTACCTGATGTTCATTTAAAACAGGTAACCTATTGTTCCTTGTTTTAAAGGAGTTGTAGTGAATGGAACAGCTGTGTTATAATAAATGATAACTACTTCAAGATTACCAAACAGATACAATATTATATGGAACATTCTTTTAACTGGCCACATATACTCTACTTTCTTTCATTCTAATGAAAAATTATGTAGTCTAGCACAATTTCCATTGAGCTACAAAATGCCAACCCTTTATTGAAATATAAGAACTGTCAAAAATACATACAATGACTTTCCATAATACCTACTAATTCTCTACTGAACACCATGCAATACACACTGATAAATGTGACAGTGGTATTTCACAATACAGTGTTTTGCGATTATTACTCTGTTTAACCATGATCAAAAAGGTCATGCACATTTCATTCATAGATAGGTGAAAGTCTTCTTTGTATGGAACTATAAAGGGATCAAAACCTTAAAGGTAATAGTAATATCTTCTTATACCATCAGTGGCCAGTTGGAGATTACATTTGGCAAACACTGAAGCCAATGCTTTAACCCTCATCAGACCAAAAAAAAAGTAAATGCCATTTATTTCTATTTTATTTTGTGAATCCCAGTATGTTAAAATTCAAGGCTAATTAATTGAATGGATTTGTGCTGGGCTTCAGACTACAAAGATTATAAACTACTAATCACACGATTTGAACTCAATGTGTACAACTACTCCCCAGCAGAAGTCCCCATCTCAGTTATAGTATTCTTTCTTTTCAGACCCTTGGGCCAAAAACCTTGGACTCATTTGTTAACTCTTTGCTACCTTTTTCCACACCAAGACATTCAATTGGCACTACTTTCAGAAATCAGGAATCCATTCACTTCTCATTCTCTCCATGACTACCATCCTCATCGCCTCTAACAGAGATTTCACCAGACTCCTAGCTGAGCACGATGTTTCTATTCCTGCTCTGTATTGGCTATTCTCAACATTGAAGTTAGCCTTTCAAGCACCAGTAGGATGGAGCTAGTCCTCTGCTGAAAACTCTTCCGCGACTCCCTACTTGACCCAGAATAAAAGCTGAGCTCTTTACAAGGTCGTCCGAGGCCCCACACAACCTGGGTGCAACTCTATCAAGCCTAAAATCAAGTCAGCTTCTTAAAAACCATATTGTTAGAAAAATGGAAGAAGCAGAATGAGGCCTACAATTCAATTTTAGACATATTTAAAAGGGATCTACACAGCAAACAAGATTGGGTTTCTCAATTATACATAGGAATAAATACAAGAGAGTGATTTTTGAGGTCAGAGCACTAACAGAACGACAACTTGGAAAACAATCCTCTTTATTCCCAATTCCCCTTCAGGGAGGACTAAGGTACACCGGCCTGATACAAGTTACAATATTAGGTCACCTTGTTGCATATGATAGCTGGACAATGAATAAGAAAGAAAGAAGTAGAACTGATGCCTTTGAGCCAGGTGTAGGCAATAAATAATACATGTACCATGGACTGCCAGAGAATGAACAAATTGTTGTCCTAGAAGAAGTACAACCAAAAGGTTCTCTAGAAGGTAGGACAGTGAGACTTCATCTCCCATACTTGACACATGTGATCAAGAGGGGCCAATCCCTAGAGGAGAACATCATCATGCTTGGTAAAAGAGGAAGAAGGCCCTGGATAGGTGGATTGACACCATAGCTACAACAACAGACTCAAACATAACAATTTGTGAGGACGGTGCAGGACTGGGCAGTGTTTCGTTCTGTTGTACATATGAGTCAGAAAGGACGACGAGACGGCACCTGACATCACCACTCTAACTTCCCACCTCTGGTATTATGGCCTTTTTGGTCAAGTCAAAACATCTTATTTCCTTCCTTCCTTCTTTCTTACCACTCTCTATTTTGTTTTCTTAGTATAGAAAGTCAATTTCCTGTACAGTCAGTCTGCAAAGGATATCCACTTAAACACCATTCTTCCTACCAGTACACAAAGGAAAAAAGCCTTCCCACCCTCTCCCCACTACCCTCACACAAATTAAGAATGGAGATATATTAAACAAAGAGTTACTAAATGAGGACAAGAAGTTAAGAAATTACAGAGAAGTCTACAGGAAGGACAATATAAATGTCCCAGTGTTCGCCAGTGCCTGTGGCATTTTGCTCATACGCTTAAGACAGGCGGACAGATCCTGATGATTCATTTGTACCATGCCTGCCTGAATGCAATGTGTAGGCTGGGAACATTTTATTTTTGAACAATGTGCTGTTACTCTTATATATTTGGTACCTTAGATAGCAAGGTATTATTTTTCATTAATTAGCACTAGAAAGATCATAGACTTAAAATGACTCAACATAAGACTCAGATTTTCACTTATGATGTACAGGATCCACAAGCAGAAAGACTTTATAATTAGCAGAAAAAGTGATTTTTTTTATTATTATTATTTAGAAAAAGTGATTTTTCCTATTGATTACACTAAAAAAACCCAAAAGAAAACATACAGAAACAGCCTGTGAGAATTGTCAAGATTAAAAAAGTTAAAATACAGAGCAATAAAAAAACTCAAATTCAAATTCAGAAATATTCCCTATTCTTAGTACTTAATTTTATTTAAAATATTTTCACCAATAAATCATTAACAACTCATCAATTTCATTAAACTTTGTCAGAGATAAATGAATACCTAAAATACCTAAAGTGAATATCTAATAATTTCCAAATTACTTTACAAATAGTTAGCTTGAATCGTTTTATTGGGGGCTCTTACAACATTCCATACATCAATTGTATCAAGCATATTTGTACATATGTTGCCATCATCATTTTCTAAACATTACCTTTTATTTGAGCCCTTGGTATCAAAACTAGTAATTTTTTGCCGCCCCAAACTAGTAATTTCTAACGTATCTTTTGAGAAGTATATAAGGTAGCTGGATAAACTATTCAATTCTAAAAATAGCTTAAATTCTTTGTATTAAGGCACATGTATCTAAATACTATAAAATATTACATATTTTACATCTATTCTTTCATTCTGTAAGTATTTACTAGGATCTTATTATGAAATACCAGAAGAAAATGAAGATACCAGTAGCTGAGATGAGTTTTTTGAAATCTCCATCCCCACAGGATGATGATGATTATCTATCACCCTCCCCTCCACACTTTCAACTCTGAACCATACCTGTCAGGTCGGGTAAAGCTGACTCTGAGGTCTCACGGTACTGGCAGCAAAGCGGTACGTCCTGATCTCTGCCATAACAATTAGATGGAAGCAGAACTGTCCCAAGGAGCATACTTCTGCCCAGAAGCACAAAAGTTGGACTGTTCTGTGTAAAGAGGAAGTCTCAGAATTCCTCTCTCTGACAAGCACCACCAAATGGATGTGACATTTACTCATGCACTCCAGTGGCTAGCAGTAACCAACAGAAGGAGAAGCATTCTCCACTGGTGAAGTTAGTGGGAGTGGTCTAAAGGAGAGTGCCTAGTGCCCAACAGAAGACTGAGTCAGAAAAGAGGTACTTCAAGATCTCCAGGAATATTTTCATAAATAATAAGTTAAAAAAAACCCAACACCACCCACACATGAGTCACAAATCGTTTGATAATAACGAATGTAAGAATCAGGGCATCTACTGGGCTTTCATTCCTAAGTAGATGATGCACTGAGACTGTAATAATGATGTTTCCTTGGAGAAACCAGTTTACAATTAAACAGCAAATACACTTTTAAAAGAGGAAACGCCTAATAAGACTCATATCTTTACGTCACTTGCATTCGTTCAAGAAACCACAAACCCAAAGTCAGAGAAATAATTACGTTCTGATTCATAAGCGCTGAAGCCAAGGCACGAATGCCTGCATTAATATTTTTGGCTAAAAACACAATAAGGTCACACACATGGCATGATAGCATTGAATACTTTTTATGTTAAAAATTTTAGAGCGGAAGTCTGATCTTTAATAATACATAGAGCAAAATAAAGTCTAAGAACCTAATAATGGGATTACGTTGTAAACCCTACAAATGACTGTATTAATGATATAATCAACAAAAATGGATTT